GCTTTTGTTTCCTTTTTTTCCCCTTTATATTTGCCGTTTGTGTGTTTACGTGCAGAGAAAYGGGGTAAGAGCCAGTACTCCTCTAGACGCAGGACATCAGCCAGAATAATCTGCAAATGTTTTATATTTACTATTGCATGAACTAGTGTTCCAGAGTTGTTTGAAAGGTATCTAGCAAAATACCTTCATATTTTCTCATTGGAAAATGCATTTTGTTGAAGGCAGAATATTTCACAGAASCATCTGCTTGCTTGAAAACATTGTTAGGAGCTCAAGACTAGAGCAACTTCTGCTGGAGGCATATCAGTGCCACTGCAGAGTCCCAGATAGTGAAATATGACCTGCTAGTCCTATCTAGTCCTAAATAGTGAAATATGGCTGCTTTGAGGTCTCCCCTTCCAGTCTTTGTGTTCTGGTGATCTGTYTTTCAGCAGATGCTTCGTGAGTCCCGACAGAGTCGTGAGAACATGAGCCTGGGTCTGCTCTTCTTGATCAAGAACCCCAGCAGATGGGCTGAAAACTTGTGCCCACTCATGCTGTTTCTAGGGCTGGTTTGTAAACTGTCTGTGTCCTAACACAGGTTTGGCCAGAAGGTAGAGGGTGCTCTTGTGTAATTTTGTGCTTAGAGTTAGCACTGGGAAAAGAAAAATGTAGGTTTATGGGGAACTTGTCCATGACCTTCCATTTCTTAGGCAAGTGCTCTATCTTATTGCCTTTACCTCCGTGTCCTCTCTTGTGCCTGATGGGCTGTCCCTTAAACCTGGCGTTGTCAGGAACTGTCAAGTGTCATTTGAGCACGTCTATTGGATTGTGACCTTAGAAGAATCAGGTTTGAAGGGAAGAAGTGCCAGTTCTGTGGTTTTCAAGCCACATCTCAACACTTGAGGTGTGTGAGGAGATGCCTAGAGGCCCAGGTCTACCAATGTGCTGTCATTTGTAGGAAAGYGCAGTTGTGGTTCTAGTATGAGGGCCTCAATCTTGGGGTAAAAAGTAAGATAGCTATAGACACTAGAGTACCTATGTGGATGGATTGAACTTCTCTACCTTGTTCTCTTGAACGTAATTTTCACTGGTTTTGGTCCCTTCTGTGCCTTGGTTAACTTTCTGTGGAATAGATCTGTAAAAAATTCCCTGCTTTAGTTGGGAGGATGGGCACATTGAAGACTTCAAGGTGTTTGGATGCTGTCGTCACGCAGAGGGTAGACGAGGGAAATGAAATTGCCCTCCTGTTCCTGAGACCTTACAAATTTGTATGCCCATGTCATATGCCATAAGGGCAGCTTAGATCTTTAAAGATGACCTACAAACACATCAATAACTACGAATGGGCCCATTTTTCTACCCTTTGATCAATCAAGTTTTGCAGCTTTTTTAACTTTTCTTTTTCAAATTTTAATAGAAATGCCATCAAGTTTCTTTTAGTTCTTTATCTCCTTCAAAGGGCTGGACAACTTGCTCATTCTTGCTATCTGGTGTGTAAACCAGCACATAAAAATAAAGCGTGTGAAACCGAACCTTGGTGCCGGGCGAGTCCCCCTCTCTTGGGTGGGAATTTCACCCTTCTGCTTAAGCGCTGCCTCCTCTAGCCTGACTGCATTTCTGGTCGCGTATTTGTGGAGCACCTTGAGGAGAAGAGGAGGAGTTACACAACTGTTCCCTCGCTGGGAAGGTCGGGCTTTGTCTCGTTTGAAGTAGATATCGGGAGAGATCTGCCGTCCTGAGAGAACACGCATTTATTTCTGAAGTGTTTGTGTTCCCTGCGTGCGGGGCACACGAATAGAGTTGCCACCTGGCCGGCGCTGATAAGGGCGGCCCGGGCAGCAGCGGCCGTGCGCTCCTCGGGCTGGCTGGTTTCTCTGTARAGACTCATCTCCTGCCCCATTGCCTAGATCAGAGTTTGTGAAATGCTGCACCTCCTGAGCTTGCTTAGATAAGGGTTTGTTAGGGGCTCTGCTATTAGGGAAACGCTCTTAGCTGTGCCCGAGGAAAACCCTTTAGCCTTTTTCTGGCTTGCTCTGTTAGGAAAATCCTATTAGCTATCCTATCCCTTTAGAAATCCACATATGTCACTGCTTTCTTTATAAGCTTGACCTCAGCTTGTGGTTGTCCAAGGTGCCTCCAGCCTGGATCCTGGTACCCATGTGCTTTGAGCAAAGARTAATGGAAGAAACCTTCATTTTCTTTCCCCTTGCACCTCGTCAGAACTTCTCCTTCCCGTGTGCCATCAGTTGGCCACATTGTCCCTTCAGCAGCTGCTGGTTGCTGCCAAGTGCAAGGCTCATTGCAGGTGGCCTCCAACGCTGTGACCCTGACAGGGGTGAGGGCACACAAGTAGGTGGAAGCTTTCGAATACCCCCTCATATTAATAATAATAATGCAGCACTTCTGCTGCGTCGTAGCTCCCGCTAGAACTTCTGCCCACACRCCAGCCCACTTGGTTCACAGTGCTGTGTGCTTGCTAGACAATTAGTGCTCGATAATGAAAAATGTCATGGGAACCAGCAGGAAAATCATAGCTTACTCCAAGTATATAATGAAATGTAATTAGCACAGACAGTAAAACAGACAATTTATGGTATTTTTTTTCTTTTTGTAACTAAAAAGTATCAGTAAATATTCCTTTTGAAGAAAGCTTGGAATCAAATGGAGTTAAAAAGCTATTGTCTGAAATAGGTTTTTGTCCAAAATTTAACCTTTGCAAAGCAGAATGGATTAAAATTTTCTAATTGCAGAGTCTCCACGTGAAATTACAGTGGCACTTTTATTTTCCTGGTCTGCCTGCAGGGCTCAGTGTGCTAGTGGATTTGCTGTGGCACTTTTCACAAACCAAATGCTCACATGGCTTCAGTGAATATAATGGTATGGCCACTATCGCCCTCGTGCTCTTCCAGACAGACTCCACTTTGCCCTCACCTTGTCTGGGGAAGGTGGCTTTGAGAGAGAGGCTAAAGTGGGGATKTTATGGTAATACCTTGTTTATGCTTATCTTATGCTTTATATATCCTGTCAGATGCCTTGTGTTCACTCCCAGCCACCTCTGATCTCCCCATCCTTTTCTCTCGAGCTCTGTGCTCGTGCATGCCAGAGATATCTGATTTGAGAAGTGTAGCCTGTTTGTGGATGGAGGCTTTTCCATTTACTTATTTAAGAACCTCAGATGTGCCCCAGAGATGCCATAACACAAGTGACATCAGTGCACTGGGGACTCTCCTAGGTCCCGAAGCAGAGCAGACCTCTGCCCCCAGTCAGTTTTTAGGCAGTTTCCCGGACGTGTTTTAGCCTGGCAGTTCCGTTTGCAGAAGGCCCTGCAGTTGGGGACCGAGTTGGGGCCGTGCCGAGGGCTCGGAGCTGCCAGAGCGGCGCGTGGCTCCCGATGGTGGAGATGCTCCAGGCAGCTGTGTGGGCTGTAGCCTCCCTGCCCATGCGTGCGAGACCATGCCCAGGAGCAGCCCTTCCTTGGGGATGCTGCAGCACAAACCTCTGCTATCCAGCATGGAGAACGTGGGGAAGAGGAGAGGAAGCTTCTGCCTAAAGCCGTGGGACAGGATCCAGCCGCCCCCTCGCAGCCCTGGGACCTTCTCCCGTGGGATAGGTGGCTGATACCCATTGCTGTTCAGGACCTGCAGGGAGGGATCCGCGACGTCCCTTCTCCTCCATGGTCCCGGAACGGAGCCATGGACATTGATGCTCCTGTACCAGCTTGAGAACCTCTAGGCTCATGGGGAGCAGCTCGTGGTAGATGCCCCAGCTCTCAGGATGCCGCTGTCCTCACGGGCAGGTTCTTTAGCTGCCTTTTCCTGTGCTTTCTGGAAGGTACCGTGCAGGCCGGGTGCAGATTGGTACTTTGGGGGTTTCTGTGTCGTTGTTCMTGGAGCACCTCGGAGCACGTGTTGGCCACACAGTGTTTTAAAGCGTCTGTGGCTTGCTTCTGTCCTCCCTGAGAAGGGCAAAGCCATCGACACTGACAGGCTCAGAGCTTGTTTTATATAAAAGGACTTGATAAATATGTCATCCTGTAACCCCTCTACGTCATGCCCTCTGCAATGAGCTTGCCTGCACTGACAGCAATGTTTTGAAGGCTCAGTTTGCTCCATAACTGCTCCAAACTTGCACATTTTAAGCTTAACTACCCACCCTCTGTGCACACATATGTGCAGATTTGCAGACCCCCAAGGATTTTATATGTGGGATAGAGACTAAATCTTTCTTCTTGCTTGTGCTGTGCTGAGGAAAGGAAGGAGGGATGGGATGGGACCCAGCCAGATTGTCTCATATATTCTGGGGTCACGCTGCCTTTGATTTATACTTGTCCTCTCTGATTTATTTTTGGCTCTAGCAGCCCCTTAGTGGTGACTTCAGCCGCTGGAAATAGATAGAGGGAAGGAGGCGGCTCCGGCCRCTCTCGCCTGCCCTGCCTGTTCCCGGCCTTGAGCGGGACGGGAGGACATGGGACCGGTTCCGGCTCCCAAACCATCCAGGGAAGCCGTGGTGGCACCAAGTGTCTCTCCTGACAGCGAGACCCRCTCTGCTGCTATGAGTTTTGTGTCCAGTTAAGCATTTTTACCTTATTTATGCATTTATTTTATGAATTCAGCACACTTTGGCCCTAGTGTGCGGAGGCAGCTCAGCTCTTCCAGGCTGAGCCTTTCGCCAAGTCAAGTCCTGCTGCTTCCCATTCTATGGGGTCTGTAACTYGAACCGGACAGCTCAACTTCACCCCTTCCTGCTGAGGTAATTGCCAGAATAAGCAGCCAAATATTTTTGTGCAGATGACACTTACAGATTTTGACACGCGTGCCCTTGCTGTTTGCACTCGATGAGCTACGTGGTGTTTGTCCCTTGTTTTGGCATTTTGATAAGTGTGAGAGAGGTGAAATGGCTTTAAAAGCTTTTCTGCTGGCGCCTGCGGTTTTTTGCAGACCCAGTGGTACAGGCAGCGTGTGATAAATGGAAATAAGGCTGTTCCTGTAGAATTTGACACACTGATGTTGACTTGTCAGCTGCTGCAGGTCTACTGTGTCCAGTTGAGTGTGGCCAAACCTGAAGGAACTAAACTGAATTACCTCAGTTGGAGACTGCTCCTTTGCAACCAAGAGTGGTAATTATGTAGTACTGTAATTTACTTCTTTCTTAAGGGTAAAGTAAGAGTTTAACAAGGTTCATAGGCTAGACATTAACCTGCTTCTCCGTAAATTCGATGAACTTATTTGAGTACCAGAGCTGTAGACTGATTTTTAGAGAAAATATGCAGGTTCCCCAAGAAGTATTAGGCCCTTCATCCCCTTCAATTAGTTGTCCCTTCAGCCTCCCATAAGAATTGACTGCAGGGTACATAGAAATGGTTTATGACAAACTGCCCTATCTTGGCTGAGTCCTTGTTGCCAAATTGCCAGTGCCTCTCCTGAGGCCAGGGGACTTTTGCACTGCCAGCTTCTGGTTTCTTAGAGCTAGTAAGGGCCTCTCTGTTGGTGGAGTTCATCAGAACAGAAATGTGCCACAGAAATGAAGAGCTTCATCAGAATCAGGCTTGGTTGGTAACGTGCMCTCTGGTTGATACCCTCAGTGGATTGGCCCAATGTAGATGTTGTATCCACTTAGCACAAGCCTAAGTTCTGCTGAATTTCACTGCTAGTTCTTCAGGTGAGAGGAAGACAAAACAGGGCTGCAGTTGCAGATGTGATAAAACCGTGCCTTTCCCCGAGGCGTTTTTTTCCCAGTTGCCTTGATASTGKTTTTTTTTCTATCCAAATTTTGTTATTTACTCCAGAGGCTCCTGGGTTTTTGTCTGCTATTGAAGTCTTCATTATCCTCCTTGTAGTCCTCTTCCTCAACAAGAAGCTCTGTTTCGAAGAGACAGGTGGTCTCCAATGTCTGGAGGAAGAATCGAGACAAAAACACTATGAAGAAGAGTCTAGAGATCACAAGGATCTTGGTAAGTATCACAGTATTGCACCTGCTCTGATGTACAGCATCTCCTTGAGGCTTTGATTACTGCACAGATAAAGCTGTTTGTTGGCTTATTTGTGAGGAAAACAGTAGGGTTTTGGATAGACTGTAGCAGCCTCCAAAACTGGATCAAATAGATATGCAAGTTGTTACCAGGCTCCCATTCTCTTGGTGGTTTGGAGCAATTTCTTGAGAAATGGGGGGCAACACTAGGAGAAGGCTCATTCGCATAATATACAGAGAAAGAGAGCGAGGAGTATTTTGTTAACCCAGCAAACAGCAAAATGTGAGTAATTCTGAGTAATGGCACTGCATTTCTGAAGGATATCTCTGTCTGTGTTCTCTTGCAGTAGCTGTTACCTTCCCTTTCATGTCTTAGTTGTGCTCTGGAGACATTATTCTTGGGTAAACCCAGCAGTCCTCAAGTCAAAAGAACAGTGAGAAAGTCTATTAGGGAATTTTCTTGTGCCCCAAAAATACTGTTTTAATGCCTGCCAGCCCTCAAAAATACATGATTACATCTATTTTGCTAATGGAGGTAAGTGAGAATTTGGTAATTTCATCATATATTTATTTGTAAATATGCATTTCATAAGTATAATCAAATAATCAACCAAGTAGCAGCCTCAGAAGCATCCCAATAAAAAGGTCTGCTTCTTTTTAGTGATTCAATTGTAAAACTAATTGTAAAAGGGGACAGTAACAAAGCCTGGACCTCCAGGTGGTTTTCTCAGGCCTGTTTTGCCTTGTCCACCAAGCTCAGCATGGACGTTGGGAAGTTCATGATTCAGCCATACTCCAAGAACCCAGGATTTAGGAATGAGCAAAGGGTGGGATGCTCTGTGCCATAGGCGGTCAGTCAAACTGAATTTCTTGCTGAATGCTTTAGTGAGCCACGACCAGGCTGATGGCACTAACAAGTTGAAAAAGAGATTTTTCTCTCCCTCTTAAAAGTCCTAAATTAAATATTTCTAAGCAAAGATTTATTTTTTTCACTAAGTTTCCTTCATCAATATTATCTTTAAGCCTTCCTTCCCTTCTCTGTCCCTCCCATGAAGTAGTATAGGGCTGTGGCTTTTATTTCAGTTTTTAAGATGACACATCTCCCAGGGATGTGTGGGCGTTGACATTCTATGGAGCTGTCACAGGCTATCATGTAAACATGTATTTGCAGTGCCTTTTAAAATGTGAATTATTAATAAACAGAACGGCTTGCTTTTTTTTTTTTTTTTTTTTTTTCCTTCCAAATTTTGAAGGACAAAAAAAAAAAAAAGCAAAACCAAAAAGCACTTCCCAGCTGACACACTCAATGGCAATTTTCATTTCAGAGTAAATCTTATGTGTCTGAGTAATAAACCTTTGAAAACATGAGTTTATAATGGCAACACGAATTCAACTTTAACTACAGCTGTGCCGCACAAGCAAAATACCAAACACGTTAATGAGGTGCTAAATCTGATGCAGTAGAGGAATGTGTTGTAATCATTAATTAAAATGGAGATTTAAAGCTGGAGACTTCTTCCGCTTATACAAGATCAGATTGGCGAGTTGGYGCTATTTAAAAATATCAAGCCTCTATATTTAGGTTGGATTTTGCCATAGCTTTTTGACGCTTGTAAGGCCAATATAGAATGCGTGTGTAGGAAATGCCAGTGCTTGTAGAGGACAGTAGCATGAGAGAGTAGATGACGTGCTATATTTACCCTGTCTTTCCACTGCAAATACAGAAACCTGCAGCCTGAATTGTGGCTGGAAAGTCAGAAGAGAGAGTTTTCAAGCTAACAGTTGCAGCTTATGGTGGTACCTCCCTGTTTGATGACCATAATTGCCCCATGAAGCTGCCCTCTATCTTGAAAAGCAAGAATTTTGTTTCCTAGTTCAGAATCTGGCTTTTGCTGTGTAGAAAAGAGTAAGGTCTCCACGGAATGTAACATATTTGATAAAGTTCACTGGTCTCAGCTTCTTCTCCTGTGCTGTTTATTGCGAGGAGGTCCTTATCCYACAGTAGGATAAACCTGAATTTGCAACAGCATATATAAATTAAGACTGTGGTCTGAGAAGTTCTGTTTGGTTTTGATGCATGAACTGTTTGTCTTTTTCCCTTGGATCTAGCTCAGCATTAACTTCCATCCCAGTAAAGAGAGAGGTGGTGTAAGAACACAGGTAATTCTGTCTGCTTTGTACTTTGCAGGTGCCCAAGGTGGCATTCAGAAAGTGCACTGTAAAGTGTCAGGTATCTGTTCATAATTTGTTATCTTTACCTTATGATATACAGTCTGACCTCAGAATGGGTGAAATGGCAGAGCAAAATAGAAGTTTCTATTATCATGACTCTAGGATACATTTGGTCATTTTGTTCCTAATTTATAGTTGCATAGTTTGTGTCCTTATGAAAGGAAAACAATAAGGGAAAAGATCTTGTGAAAATGAAGAATTAATTAAGAACCTTTCAGGAGACTCCGGGACAAAGCCTCCTAATTACTRGGACACAATGGATAATGTTTCTGATACTCGGGGTTTCCATGGTTCGTGTTCTCGACTGCCTCATTGACCTTAGTGATGAGCCCATGTCTTGAGTTTGGATCTGCTGCTGCTGGTTGCATCTGACTCAGCTGCAGGAATCCATTCACTGCAAGGACAAGAGCTCATCTGGACATAGTCAGCCTTAGAGTATTTAGGGTAAACTTGGACTGCAAAGCTTGATAGGCTGGTGAATACTTTCCCAAGAGCAGGGTAGCACAGAGTTAGTTCACTTTGTACATCTCAAGCTTGGTTATGCTTGCAGCATGTGCACGAGAGAAGTGACAGCAGCAAGGAAGAGTCCTTAGGTGACTGGAACAACCTGGAGTCTGGATTAGCTCGTGTGCCCGTTGTTTTAGACAAAGATTGAACACCACGTTTTCCTCTTGGAGAAACCTCTTCAAACCATTGAAGTGGTTTCTCACAGAGTGGGTGAACTTTCAGGTGGCCAAGGAGGGGAATTTTCCCTCGAATCATCTGCGAGTGCAAAGAATGAGGGTCCTCCCTTGGAGGCGTGACATGTCGCTGGGTCTCATGTGAGACCCCTTTGGTGTCTGTTCCTCTAGTGTGATTTTCACGATTAAAAGGTGATAATAGGGTTCTTACTGCGGGTATTTATAGTTTTGCTGAGCCCTTTGTTTCAAAAAGTTAATGTCTGAAATGAACTTATTTGCTTACATGTGATAACACTGGGCAAACTCTTGTGTAAAGAGCCCTGTCTAACCATGTGCTTCAGTGCTGTGATTCAGAGAAGAAAACCACCCACTTAGTTCTCTACCTATATTGTTTTTCCTTTGGGCCTTAAGTCATACCATTATAAAACAAAAAAGAAAAGTGATTTTCTGACTCTACTTGATACGAAAGGATTTCAGTTSTACCTTGCCTTGAACATTTACCGTGATAATAAGCATGTACTCCTCATACATGAAATCACCTTAAACATTGTGAGATTTGAAGAATCATTTTTCCATTTCTTTCTTCTGTCTGATCAACCTTGAGAGTGCTTTTAGTTCATGTTCTCAAGCTGTTCTACACAACCACTGTTCTAGCCTCCARGGTTAGCAGTGTACTTAAAATAAATAAATGGGGATGCACTTCTTACATAAGCCACTCATCCCTTGTAGCTGAGGCTCTAAGGAAAGCATCAACACCTACAAAATTCAACAAAGCCATGAATGTTAGTGGCATTGTCTGGATGTTGCCCTTGCTTTCAGTGCAGCCTTCTCGGCCCAGCCAGACACTGGGAACCTGTTTGCAGGGTGTAAGACCATCATATGATAGAAGGAGGATTAGTTTGGGGTTTGTTCATKCACAAGGTAGAGGAAAGACAGGGAATGTGAGTCCAGTGTGACAAGATGGTAAACTGCCTTTCTCTGACAGCATGGTAAGTCAGAACGACAGGAATGTGCTYTTCTGAGGGTAAACAGGTGTGGTTATTTGTGAGTTTTTTTGTGTATATGTGGTCTTTTCTAACACTGACACCAGGTATCCTGTAGTATTGGGCTTTGTCGTCCTTAGGTGCAGATTGAAAGGGAGTCGGGGTTTTCTATGTAGCTCAGGGGCAGGTAGCTCAGCCAGCGTGTTAGACTCCCTGAGTGGTCCATGGAGGGAGTGAGATCAACTCCTGAAATGGAAGTTTCCAAGTGCCAAATAAAGCTGTTCTTCTAAATTATCYCCTCTTTCCATTGCTTTTATTGAGGCTTTTAGTAAAAGTGATTCATGGATACGAGATCATGTGAATGTTGCTGTTGATGCCCGCCCAAGAAAGTCTAGTTAAAAACAAGAAAGAATGAATTAAATGAAAGATTAGAGCAGCTATGGGAACAGTTGCTGGACCAGTTTTATGGCTCTCAATGCTTTTTAAACCATTTGAAAGTAGGCCTAGCTTTACCAGTGACCCCTCGTCGCCTAGCATGACCAGCTGAGCTACTGGTTGACCTTGCAGAAGTGRAAGGATCTGGGAAGTATGGACTTACTTGTGCGTATAGACAAAGATAGCGAAGGTATCCAGGTCTAGCCACATCATTACCACAAAGGATAACAAGGAGAGGTGGTTTCTTTCATTTGACGCTGAGGACTGTGATTCCCAAACTACACACTCTGCACCACTTGCTGATAGTCCACACAGAGCGATTTGTGCAGACTCCGTCACGGAGCATGTGGAGGAGGAAGGAATAAAACAGTAACTGGATGACTCCTCGAAATGTTTCTAAAATAACTTCATTGTGTTAAGCAGCTACATGTGCTCTCCCACTGGTAATTTCCATGCGAGTAATTGCTCTGGTTGACCCTGGCTCGCGTGGTTCCTGCAGAAGGGCTGGTGTGACCGCAAGAGTGGGACCTCACACTACTGGGGCTGCTCCATGAGAACAGCTTGACAGCACCGGTGGGTGGGTTCGAGGTGTTTCTGGTGTTTCTCCAGCCTTTTGCACTTGTGATTTCCTTTTGGCTCCTCTGTCTTCATGCAAGCCAATGAATGGCAGCAGCTCAGTTACAGAATGTGCTGTAATTTCTGACTGCAGGTTTTTACATTCATTCCCCTAATCCAATAATTACAGATGTTTTTCGCTCCTCTGCATTCAGGGAACTCAGTTGTCGCTACTAATACTACTTTGCTAATACCCCAACCATCTGTGAGGTTCTCTCTGCCCTCTTTGTAACCCTCAGTTTGAGAAATGCAAATATAAATAGTAAAAGTTATTCATTGGTGGTTCTTTGTGCTCTCGCTCAGCACAGAGCAGTGGTTTTGTGAGCCTGTTGTGGCATGTGGCTGTTTAAATGCCAAGGACCTTATTTTGATTTGGAGGACTTCACTGGCTTCAGCGGAGTGGCTCTGGAGCTAGAGTCATGCCGAGACAGAACTGAGCTCTCCGATACATCCAAGTTGGATATTATGGTCAAGGAAGGAGTTTCCATTTCTCCTTCCTAAAAATTCACTCAATGTGGGAACGGAAAGAGGCAGCAGCATCTGTGCATGAAGCCACTGGTTCCCATTTTTGCAAGCTCTGGATGTATGTG